CACACACAGTGGGAGTTGTCACAGTTGCTCTTTGCTGATGACACTGTGTTCTTGGGAGATTCTGAAGAGAAGTTGCTGAGGTTGGTGGATGAATTGGTAGGGTATGCAAAAAAAAAATTAAAAGTGAATACAGGAAAGAGTAAGGTTATGAGGATAACAAAAAGTTTAGGTGATGAAAGATTGGATATCAGATTGGAGGGAGAGAGTATGGAGGAGGTGAATGTATTCAGATATTTGGGAGTGGACGTGTCAGCGGAGGGATCTACGAAAGATGAGGTGAATCATAGAATTGATGAGGGGAAAAGGGTGAGCGGTGCACTTAGGAGTCAGTGGAGACAAAGAACTTTGTCCTTGAAGGCAAAGAGGAGAACGTTTTACCAACGCTCTTATATGGGTGTGAAGCATGGGTGATGAATGTTGCAGCGAGAAGGCTGGAGGCAGTGGAGATGTCATGTCTGAGGGCAATGTGTGGTGTGAATATAATGCATAGAATTCGTAGTTTGGAAGTTAGGAGGTGCGGGATTACCAAAACTATTGTCCAGAGGGCTGAGGAAGGGTTGTTGAGGTGGTTCGGACATGTAGAGAGAATGGAGCGAAACAGAATGACTTCAAGAGTGTATCAGTCTGTAGTGGAAGGAAGGTGGGGTAGGGGTCGGCTTAGGAAAGGTTGGAGGGAGGGGGTAAAGGAGGTTTTGTGTGCGAGGGGCTTGGACTTCCAGCGGGCATGCGTGAGCGTGTTTAATAGGAGTGAATGGAGACAAATGGTTTTTAATACTTGACGTGCTGTTGGAGTGTGAGCAAAGTAACATTTATGAAGGGATTCAGGGAAACCGGCAGGCCGGACTTGAGTCCTGGAGATGGGAAGTACAGTGCCTGCACTCTGAAGGAGGGGTGTTAATGTTGCAGTTTAAAAACTGTAGTGTAAACCACCCTTCTGGCAAGACAGTGATAGAGTGAATGGTGGTGAAAGTTTTTCTTTTTCGGGCCACCCTGCCTTGGTGGGAATCGGCCAGTGTGTTAATAAAAAAAAAATTAATCACAAATAAACAATTAAGTACTTAAGTCTCAGACTGAAATATTGTGCACTGAATACAGTGAAGAAATTAAAAAATGGCGTGGTAGCATGTAATGCTATATAGTTTCATACACAGTCTAATGAATAGACCATAGGGTCAGAACCCAGAAAACGTTGGTTCTCCATGATTACGTCGCGGGAGCTGAAGTCTTATCCCCTAACTAGGTTAAGTGCAACTAGTCGAGTACACACAAATGAGACCCCTGATTCTCTCATATTCCCAGCGGTATTCCTACACAAATCAAGTATCACACTTCCCATCACAGAACACACCCACACTTATCCATTGCCTCACCCCAATAATCGACACTCCCAACTGGACAGTCTCCTACCCAGCCTTACCCATTTTCAATTCACGAAAGCTTTTGATATGGTACTCCGCCAGCCTAATCCACAAATTAAAAAGCAGGAGGAAGAGTTAATTAAAGTAGATTAGGGAGAGGTGGAGCAGCCATGGGGGGGGGGGAGGGGGCAGGCGGCTAAGGGTTAACGAGACTAGCACTTTTTTATTTTCATTTATATTGACCGTTGCCTGAAATCTTGGCTTAAGATCCCTGGACTGAAATCCTGGTTTAAGCTTTCCAAGAATGTAATTCTGACTTAACATCGTCCCTCAGAATGAAATAAGCCCTGGCTGTATGACAGGATACAAGAATAACTGGTGAGGGAGGTGGTGTCTGGGAGTGCGTAAGTTGCGTCACTTGAAGAGTGCTGGCCCAAATGCTCTTCATAATTTAACAATTATCTCCCAGAAGAGTCTCGTGGCCCCTTGTTAATAATGCAAAACTGACGAGTAATAAAAAAAATTGGCTGTATAGCCCTTGTGGTTTAGCGCTTCTTTTTGATTATAATAATAAAAAATTTGGATGGACGGGAATGAGCTAGGCTGGCTAACTTAGGCTGGATACACAGGTGGGAACTTATATTTAAATGTAGCCACAGATGTGGCTGAATGAAAAAAATTGAGAAAAAATGGGTTCATAAGAAAATTAAAAAAAAAAAAAAAATATGTAAATGTTGACTTCAGTTGAAACTACCGTACATAACGCAAAAAAATATTGAAAAAAAAGGACCGAATTTATTGGGAAATTTCAAAATTATTTTCTTTGACAAGATGTAAAAATGTTAATTGAATATCTGAATTCAATGCACATCTCAGCTCCGCCTCTAAATAGGCATCAACAATTCGAGATGTGTATTTAGAGTTGATGAACCATCGTGGAGAACGTGGATTCACACACCCACGATGATCCAAGAACACTATTTTGAAATGCCTTACTTCAAAGTTGGGAGATTATTGTCAGTCAATATATTCCCACAAGTCTGACCGAGGAATTCTGCAAAATTTTCAAGTGTTCTAAACTGTGAAGCTGTATAGCCCTTGTGGCTTAGCGCTTCTTTTTGATTATAATAACAATAATAATCTATACTCTGAAGAGCAATCCTTCAAACCTTTGTTTGAAGTATGGCAATTTCTTTGCCTGAATTTATATCAATGTGAAATGGATCACGAAGGAACTGAAATGTTAATTTAAAATCGCTGAAATCAGAAAAGCGCGATTCAAATTTTTGATAGATTTTTCATCTAGTTCACATAGAACTGTCACTTTACTTTGAGTAGGCCCTTAAAATATTTTCAAACCCATCCAAACTGAAGGAAGAGATGAAACAATATTGGAAGGTGGAGTGAGGACAGTTCTGACTGGCAAAACTAGTTTCGTCAACCAGTCATTGACTGTTAAGTTGCAATGACCACACGCCATCACCGAAAAGATTTACATTTTATTATAAGATTCAAAGTATGGCAAACTCAATTTTCCACATTTTCATGGCAAATTAGCCACTTGTGGCGATAGTGCTGCCCACCCTGGGTGAAGACAGATACTGCAGTTTAATTTGAACAAATGCAATACTCTAAAAATATGGAAAGGAGTAAACCAGAGATGGAATATTGCCTCATCGGTCTGGTATGAGTCAGCATCTTGCTAAATACAAAGATAAACTGTGTATCATGCCAAAATATAAAGTAAACTTATATAAAGAATGGTTTACAAGTGGTATAGAAATGGTAATATTATTTACATATTTTAGCACCTTTTAAGTGCATTATTATATATATATATATATATTAATTATATATATATATATATATATATATATATATATATATATATATATATATATATATATATATATATATATATATATATATATTATATATATATCATACATATATATAAGAGAAAAAGTGATTTAAATATTTAGACGAACATTCCTTGATAATTTACGTAACATGCTGTACTGTGTTATGTTCCGGTAGATAGTAAATATTTGCTCATATATACTTTGCTAGTGTACGTAAATATGTCATGACCAGCACTGTGATGTTACATGTGTACACGGTGTTGTGTGCATTATATATGTAGACGTGTGTGTATGTATGTAGTTACCCAAACGTCTGGACAGGTGAAATTTCAACAAACTTATACTCAATCTGCGGGAAAAAATAAAATATTAGTAATATTTCCTGTGTGCAGACTTTTGGGTCAACTTGCATTTGCTTGTTAATTATGTAGAGTTAAGAGTAATTACCAATCCTGTATATATATAGAAAGCACATACTACGTGGTGTTACTAAGGTCTGCCATATGACTGTTTAGAATATGCTGTGATACAAAGTCCGGGGTTTCCCTTCTTGTAGGATACATTCTGTAAGAAAATTTCTGTATAACTGAAGGCTCGGAAGTGTAAATAGCTGTAATGAGTAACGTGGTACAGTTTTGAATATTATGCGAGATTGTATTTTGGCACACAAGGCCTAACATGTTTCAGCGGCCTGGTTAAGATTATATAGTACATGTCTTATAACACTGTATGTGCAGGGTAGTGTTATATATTTTAAGTACACGCTGTTGGTTTCCCTTTGCTATTTTAATGTTTAAAGTCACATGTAAGAGTATATGTAAGGTAATATAAAAATGTATATTGAGTTTGTGTAAATACAAAATTTTAGGTGACTTTGTTGGAGCAGATATGCATACGAGTTCCAGTAGCAGTGTATGTCATGTACACAAATAACCCGCACATAAAAGAGAAGCTTACGACGACGTTTCGGTCCGACTTGGACCATTGACAAAGTCAATGTGCGGGTTATTTGTGTATCGTTCCAGTCACGGTATTGTGCCTTTTTGTTATTTATGTTATGTATTAATACTGGTATAGGGTATAGTGTATGAAGAAGTCTTGGGTGGATTGTACCCGTGTTGAGATATAGAGTATATTATCCTTGTATGCTAGGCAAAGTTTTCATAATTGTTACTTAGAGCAAGTAGTATCCTACGTTCTTATAGTATGTTAATGTTTTGTTGGTATTTGATGAGGGGGGGGGGGAGGTACCTTGTTACTTCCAGAGTACATATGTACGACTTTATAAATGTACCTTTGGTGGGGGGATGTATTGGTTTTAATGGTGTGGTGAGGTTTTTACCTTTAAGAATTGTTTTGTATATAAAACTTGGCATAAGATGTACTAAGTGTGCTGAAGTAATTATCTGGATATATTGTTGGTACACTTGTGTGAAGTGTTCCTTTTTCTTTTTGGATTGTGTATACGTGTTGTACTTTAATTTTGTTGTCCCATGTCGACTGGTTTAGTGACATGTTTGATTCCATGTATAATGTATACTGTATTTTAAATAAAATAAAAAAAATAGTGTATAACGAAACTTGTCTTTGTATGTAATACAACACACTTCATCACCCTCTCAATTTTACACATAATTACCAAGACCCTATTATTGTTAATCATAATTTTATTATTACTGTTACAACAGTTAAGCGCTAAACCCGTAAGGATCATTAAGCGCTGACCCCCCCCCCTCCTCATCATTTCCCAGACAGCTGCAAGATGCACCACATAACTCACCTCCTGCAACAGTTCACGGTGCAAGGCTTCATGTCTGAAGACTTGTCACTGGAGATCATGATGAAGTACAAGACTGGAGGAGGAGGAGTGAGAGTGACGTGTTATCTCCTCGCTGGTCAAGTGTTAACTGACTCCTTCACTGACCTCTCATCTGCCGCCAAAATTACTATTTAACAACATTTATCTCTCTCTTCACTCTCACTTTTTAACCTGTCTCTTCATTATAATTCACAATGAAATTATTATTTAACTTTAATTACAGGTTAATGAGGCAGATTTCATATTTTCAAAAAAATAGGCATTTTTCAAATTTGAATTTTTTCAATTGTTTTCCTACGCCATGTTTTATTTCTTATCTTAGGCTATATATTTTATAACATTGCTCACAATTAAACTTTCTAGAACTTTATTCAAGATGAAATTAGAGACATTTTCAATTTATATTAAAAAAAATGAATGGATTAAAATGGAATAATGCAGATTTTTATAATAACATTAATAACGATAAAATATTTTATTTTTTTATGTATTAATTCAACTTCCAAAATTAGACCATATATCGTCCGAAATTCCCCGGCATAATCTGGAGTTTATCTGGAGTTAGTTCCGGGGGTCAACGCCCCCGCGGCCCGGTCTGTGACCAGCCTTTCCTTAGTCATGTCCCAGATGCGACCACACAGTGACTAAACACCCATCTGGTACCCATTTTATGATGGGGACATAGAAACAGGTGGAAAGAAACACGTCCAATGTTTCTACTCTGGCTGGGAATCGAACCCAGGCCCTCGCCGTGTGAAGCGAGAGCGTTAACCACCAGGCCACCAGAGCCTTCATAATAATGACTTTCTTTTAACAAATCAGAATTGTGATTACACATTCTAACCCTCACAAAGAATTAAAATCTTTATTCTTTTATTCTTTTTATAATAGATTCAGAATATGTGAGAAATTTCAGACAAATGAAAAAATTTGGGCGACATTTATAATCTTTTATAAGAATAAATAAGCCTAGTCAGTGCTGGAACTTTTACGTCCCTAACCAATGTAATGTGGGAGGCAGAAAGCCCTGACCTTCACAATACGTCCCTAACCAATGTAAAGTGGGAGGCAGAAAGCCCTGACCTTCACAATACGTCCCTAACCAATGTAAAGTGGGAGGCAGAAAGCCCTGACCTTCACAATACGTCCCTAACCAATGTAAAGTGGGAGGCAGAAAGCCCTGACCTTCACAATACGTCCCTAACCAATGTAATGTGGGAGGCAGAAAGCCCTGACCTTCACAATACGTCCCTAACCAATGTAATGTGGGAGGCAGAAAGCCCTGACCTTCACAATACGTCCCTAACCAATGTAAATGGGAGGCAGAAAGCCCTGACCTTCACAATACGTCCCTAACCAATGTAATGTGGGAGGCAGAAAGCCTTGACCTTCACAATACGTCCCTAACCAATGTAAAGTGGGAGGCAGAAAGCCCTGACCTTCAAAATACGTCCCTAACCAATGTAAAGTGGGAGGCAGAAAGCCCTGACCTTCACAATACGTCCCTAAAACAATGTAAAGTGGAGGCAGAAAGCCCTGACCTTCACAAACGTCCCTAACCAATGTAAGTGGGAGGCAAAAGCCCTGACCTTCAACAAGTTACGTCCTAACCAATGTAAAGTGGGAGGCAGAAAGCACTCTGAGACTTCTCACTAACACATGTAAAGTGCGAGGCTTTAAAAAGGTGAACAGGCATGGAATATGGAAAATTATAAAGTGTGGGTCAAATTAGAGGAAACCAACGTGGCTGATGAAACAACTGACCAGGAGCTGTGACTCAACCCCTGCAACCACATATAGGTGAGTACTTGAACAATGGAATTTGTGCATGGGGCTCAACAACAATAAACCATCTCAGACCATTAATTACCCAACAAAAGGTTGCAGTCAGAATGATAACAAATTCCCACTACAGACAGCACACTCCACCAATATTCAAAACTCTAAACCTACTCACAATACTTATTACTGCACCTACTACATACATAGAACACTTAACTCTGATATAAACCCTCCCCTCAAACATCTCCTTACAACCTCAAACAGAACACATGACATAACAACAAAGGCACAGATCACTCTTGATGTTCCTCGTTCCATCTCACGCTATGCAAAAACTCAATGCACATAAAAGGCCCTAAAATCTGGAATTCATTAACTGTGAATATAAAAGAAACATATATGAGATACAATTTCATAAATTGTATCTCATATATGTATCTCATTATTGTATCTCATAAATGTCAACCTGTGACCCAATTAAACTTTGTTACTATTTAACTTCATTACCTAACATAATACTCCATTCTAGTGATTACACAGCAACACAGTAATGACCATATGACCTGTCTTTGTAATACTCATTTGTACTAAATTGTTATCTGTTTTACAATAATTTTTGTACCACTGAATATATCATTGCTTAGTTAATCTTAAGTTAAGTTTAATCCTGCCCATAATGCTCTACATACAAGGGGTTTTGGCATGCTGTACTTAAAAAATTGTATTCTTATACTTCTCTGTATCATGTTCAAATTAATAAATAAATAAAAAAATAAATCTTATTAATTTTGTCTTCTAAATATTATGGGCTGCAGATACGCAAGGCTCTGAAGAACATAGTAATAATAACATCTTCATATGTACAGGTACAAGGTATACAGGCCTAGCTGACATCAGTGACATATTACTAAGTAGAAAGGCACTTCTTATGCAGAGCATTTCTGGCAGGTTAGGTCAATTTTGTCCCCAGGATGCGACCCACACCAGTTGACTAACAACTCAGGTACCCATTTTACTGATGGGTGAACATGAACAACAGGTGTAAGGAAACACGCCCAATGTTTTTATCCTCGCCGGGAATCCAACCCAGACCCTTACCTTGTGAAGCGAGAGCTTTGCCACCAGGCCTCACTAGACTCATGACTGGAATATTGAATGTATGGCCACACATTGGTTGACTTCTTGTAAGCTCTCAATTTAAATCTATCTTATTAAGATCGTCTGTCTGCGACTGTTACACACATATTATCCAGATAACAGCTGCAGTATATGGGCGCCTGGCAAACCTGAGAATAGCGTTCTGATACCGCAGTAAGAAATCGTTCAAGACTGTACACTGTGTACGTCAGGCCCATACTGGAGTACGCAGCACCAGTTTGGAACCCACACCTGGTCAAGCGCGTCAAGAAATTAGAGAAAGTGCAAAGGTTTGCAACAAGGCTAGTTCCAGAGCTAAGGGGAATGTCCTACGAAGAGAGATTAAGGGAAATCGGCTTGACGGCACTGGAGGGCAGGATGGTCAGGGGAGACATGATAATGACATACAAAATACTGCGTGGAATTGACAAGGTGTGCAGAGACAGAATGTTCCAGAGATGGGACACAGAAACAAGGGGCCACAGTTGGAAGTTGAAAACTCAGATGAGTCAAAGAGATGTTATGAAGTATTTCTTTTGTCATGGAGTTGTCAGGAAGTGGAATAGTCTGGCAAGTGATGTAGTGGAAGCAGGAACCATACATAGTTTTAAGACGAGGTATGATAACGCTCATGGAGCAGGAAGAGAGAGAGCCTAGTAGCAATCAGTGAAGAGGCGGGGCCAGGAGCTATGTATCGACCCCTGCAACAACAAATAGGCGAGTACCCGGCGTATAAACATTTCGACGCGTGACCCTACACCTGTTGTCCTGTTCACCTAGCAGCAAATAGTTACCTGAGTGTTAGTCGACTGGTGTGGGTGGCATCCTGGGGGACAAGATTATGGACCCCAGTGGAAGTACAACTAATCCATTCCAGAAACCCAAAAATATTCTCAAAAAAATACATTTTATAGAAATTAGATTAGTTTTACACACAACAAACATATATAGTAAAATTAGTAATAAATTTAAATAAACATATAAAATAACATTTTTACTTACCTTTATTGAAGATTGGTGATGGCACCTGGAAGATAAGGAGGAGAGAGGGAGTTTGGGCTAGTGTTTGGAAGGGGTATCCCCATCCATGAGGACTTTAGGTAACAAGTCCCTCTCTGGGGTTACTTCCCTTCTCTGTCTTTTAATGCCACAAGGACCAGCTTGAGAGTCACTGGACCCTTGTCTCACAAAATAACTGTCCACCGTCCTCTGTATCTGGCGCCTCTTTAACATTTCCCTGAAGTGGGACATGGTTGTGTCACTGAACTTGTTGCAGAGATGTCTTGTTTCAGCTTGGTCAGGGTGATACTTTTCAACAAAAGTTTGCAACTCATTCCACTTTGCACACATGTCCCTAATCACTTAAGAAGGCTTGAATTTTTCAGTGTCTGTGTACCCCTTAAACTCCTGTGCAAACTTCTCAGTAACCCGTTTGTCTGAACTGGCTGCCTGGCCATGTCTTACAACATTGTGTATGCCACTACGCTTCTTAAATCTGTCAAACTAGCCTCTGCTGGCCTTAAATTCACTATCAGCACTGGTTCCAGTAGTATTCTGTACCAGATCGGCATGCAACTTCCTTGCATTTTCACAAATAATCTTCTCTGAAACACTATCACCTGCCATCTCTTTATCCTTGATCCACACCAGCAACAACTTCTCAACCTGATCAACTGTCTGGGGTCTTTTTTTAGTTAGCATATCAACACCTTTTGCAACATCAGCTTCCTTGATTTGTTCTTTCCTTGCCAGGATAGAAGCGATGGTCGACTTGTTTTTGTCATATATCCTGGCCAGCTCAACAAGTCTCACACCACTCTCATATTTTTGGATTATTTCCTTTTTCACCTCTATGGTGTTTCTCACTTTCTTTACCACAGGGGTACCACTAGTAAGTTTCTTTGGGCCCATGGTAGCTTATTTCACAGTCACACAAGCACTAAATACAATGAATTAATAGTGAAATGTTGGAATGAGTGTGCAGGTTAGTGTTCACTCAAGCATCAACAAAGCCAGATGCCACACGCCGGGACGCGGACAGAGCCGGCTGGCGGACAGGTCCCGTACCCGGCGGTTCGAAAGACGGGTAGAGTTCGATACTCGGAACAAAACTGGTTCGAAAAAAGCGGTCGAAACTCGAAAAGTTCGATAATCAGTACGTTCCAAGCTCGAGGAGCTCGAGGGTCCACTGTAAGACAGA